ATAATATATATATATATAGCATAATTTATAAGTGAGATTTTCAAAAATTAAGGCAGTTTTTGCAGTATAAATGTCAATCTGAAGGCTAAAGAATCATGGGAATTATATGATAAATGCAGCGGAGGAAAACTTGCAGATGTGCTTTTAAACTGTCTTTTTCTTTTTCATGCAATATATGATATCAGGTCTTTTATATTATGCTTGTTTTATATGGATTTCTATTTAATAATAGAATTAATTTTAAAAAAGCTCAAAAATTGCTCAGATTTGTTCAAATTGTTTTAGAGAGTTATTCAGTGATATTTAATTCATAGAATCCGAAACTTTCGACTTCTATTTCGAATTTTAGGTCCGTTCCGTATTTATTTTCATTAGATCAAGTGGGTGAATTGGACAGGATTTATAACGCTGCCAAACAAATTTTGGCTCAAACAAGTGAGCGAAATTTTGAAGCAGATATCTGTAACTGAAATTGCATCATATCCTTCCTTATCATACTAGTAAACATAAATCATGAATAACATTTCAGGATTGAGCAGTTTAAAGAGAAAATTACCAAAATCAGTTTTGAAAATGTATGGACAGGTAAGAGAACCTTTGTTAAATAATCGACGTTTCATTTCACTAAAATGTATCATGGAATATTTTTCGTATGTAAGTTTCTCAGTATTTTCAAATTTATAGAGAATACGATCCAATAAAGAAACAAGTTCGGTTTTTGCGCACAGAATCTTATTCTCCACATCAAAGGCTCTGAATACTGAGGTTAATATTAGAAAATCATTTCATGTCCCTAACTGTTTCTATGAAGAAATAGCATATGTATCATTGATCATTCTTGATTAAATTAATTTTATTTGCAGGAAATTCATGATGAGAAGAAATATGTCGAGAAATTTACAAGGAAGGTGGAGAAACTCATTAGTAAAATCACACTGCGCGATTTCGACATATTTGAAATGCAAAATCTTGTCGATTTCGATTTAACTGGAAAAATTGATTTTGCTCTTTTTAAAAAGTATTTTTTATCTGGTTTTCAGATGTTTGCAAACTTGTATGAAAATTTATTAACAACACTATCACAGTATTCTTAAGACAGGGTAAAAGCTATGTGTGATAATATGCAGTAGTACCAGCATCATGAAATTGTTGCACTAGTTGACTAGACACTAGCTGCCTAATATTTTACAAATATTTAACGTTCTGAAGTGGTAAACTTATTCAGTTTGCAGGATATGTAATGTTTTGCCCGAAGTAGAGGCATTAGCTGACCCTCGTGCTGCTGATGAGTTTTTAAAAGTTTTGAAACACATTGCATGTAGTTACAACGATTGGAATGCAATAATGGCCTACTTTTTTGGCGCATTCCGAGAATTAAATGGTAGTAATAAGACTTTCAAGCGCCTTTATCAGGTATTTCGTTCTGAATTTACAAAAAAAGATCCCACAATTTTGTATCGCTGACAGATGAATCAGGAAAGTACGAACAAATGCGAACCAAATTTATTTTATGCGATGTTTTGTTGGGAAGCATGCTACATTAAATGCAGAATATTCAGGGTTACTGCAATGGATAACTTGTGACTTTATTTCGCTACTGAACTGTTAATTGCCATTTATTTTTAGTCTTAAATATTTGAATTTGTAAAAATTTCCATGCTCAGAATTTCGAAGAAGATATGAAAAATTTTCTCAACTTAATTGAGGACCACGCACAACTTCATACGAATCAAGTTAAATTGAAAAAAGCGGTTGATGAGGTTGTTGTTAATTGATTATATTTGGCTCATCCAATGCAATTTTATTCTTATCAAACTTTTTTTTGGTTAAATTTATGTTAAGTTCTTGCCTAAAATAAGAATTTCCTTTAGAAACCTGTTTCTTTGTCTAATTAATTAGATAGTTGTAGTGTCCAAGAAATACTTGCTTTATTGTTCTTTTGCAGTGTGCGTGGCTTTTAATGATGTCACCTGTTGATACAGTGATATCATTCTTTCTACAATGTTTGGAGAATATATTAATAGTACCAAATTTTATCAGAGTGAGTTTATACGTTTTTAAATTCTTAACCTCGAATATTCAAGTTAATTTATCTCTGTTTATTATTATCTGCTTTTTAAAGGTTTTGCGTAAACTGCCGGCATACTCTAACATTGAATTCGAAGCAGTGTTTGAGAAGGACAAAAGGAGTAAACGTATAACACCAGTCTTGATGTTTGCATTGAGGTAACTTTTAATTTATTAATTTTCTACTTTAGAATTTCAAAACAACTTTTGCATTTCATCACATTGTTTTGCTTGATTTAAGAGTTATTTTGACTATCGAGCGGTCATCTATACAATTTGATGCAAAACGTCGGAATTTCGTTTACATATGTGTAGCACTGTGTCGTGAACGTCATGCATTATTAAAGGATGGGAAGGACGAAACAGGTCATCCTTATTTCTGAACTAATTGAATCTCAATTATTCATATTGTGTCAGTGTGAAGTGACACTGACATAAATGAAATGGTTTTGGCTATTTCCAAGTTCTGCTTTATTCTTATATTAAAAGAATCAAAATTGAATCATCATCGCTTCAAACTTGTTTCAGAAAATGAAGGAAATGTAAAGGCAGAAGCTTCTACTGCACTGTTTGATGGCATCGTAGATTTTGCTCTTATAGACGGTTCTGTTATTCTGGATCATATTGTTTTGCCGTTACTGAAACAAGTGCATTACCAAGAAATTGCACTGGAAATTGAAAGGAAATTATTGACATCTTTTGGTGTACGACGTACTCCGATAATCTGGAAAGCTGAACAGAGTAAGAGAATATCATTCGACGCTTGTAGTGCCTCTTTTTATTAACTTTAGATTGTCTCCAACTAGAGAGCGGAAGAAAATAGTGAGTAACAAGTATTTGGTGTGACGTTTTACGACTGAGCAATTTTAGACATAGTCGCCTTAAATAGCTGTGCGTTATTATCTTTACCGTTTCATTGACATCAATTGTTGTACCTCGATGGTCAAAAATAACAGTATATTGTGTGATAGTTTTCCTGGTATAAAATTTTCAGGTATAAAATTGGGCGAAAGTGAAGCTGCAGTCAAGAGCAGTTCTGGAGTGTCCATTTTGCGGTTAATTTCGATTTTACTAGATATAATAAATGAAAATAAAGACTTCGACAATTATGCGCTTGTCGATTCTTGCTATGATTGCTTACGGTTATTGGGTGAACGGCTTAAAGGCATGCTTTGAAGTGTATTTCTTAAGATGATTTTAATGTTCACAGTCAGCTATGACAATCAGTTTTAATAATCAATTTTAAATTTTCATATGATTTTTCGGTTTCTTTCAAACTTCCTTATGTTTTAGAAGATGGAGTGATTATCGAGACAAATGCATTTAACAGTTTGCTCACTTGTTTTGATAAGTCGTTATGGGTTTACAAATATGCAGTAGCTTCCTGGTTTTACAAAAGCCTGGCATCGTATGAGAGGGAAGTTAGTAATATATTGTGTTTGGTTTTTTTGTGAACAACATTTCAAAATCATTCGAAATAAAATTAAACTGCTATGCTGAAAAATTTTAAGCTCTTCTTCGGGCTCTAGAGAAAAAATCTCCAAAGTATTTTTGATATTTCAGCATAATCTGTTGAATTTAGTGAATTAAAGTGGAAATTAGGAAAGTATGTGTTTGTTGCTGAAATATTCGCAGCGGAATATTTTTTAAGCAATAAAAGAAGTTTCGAAATTCAGATCCCACTGTTGCTTTACGAGGCCTTGAAGGAAGAAAAGAGACAAACATTGAAAGCGATGAAAATTAGTATGGATAACGGTGATATTTCTGGTCGCAGTCTCCTACGAAGACTTTTTGAATTGGGAGCTGTTCATCCTGAGCTGGCGTTGGATATATTGAAAGATGGTAAGGGATTTTATAATGCCACGGCAAACTTTTCTTCCAACATGAGTCCTTGCGAAAATATACGATTTCATACCTTTATATAAAATACTCAAATATATTCAGATTTAGCCTCCACTATTATTTGGTTAAAGTGAGAATTGTCTTTAGGGTTTTCAACATGGATAAATATTGCTGGACATGACATATCTGGTGCACTTGTTGATGTTATCCGAAGTCATTACAAATTTCCGAGTAACAAAATAGGTGGCTTAGTAGAAGTTATTAAAGCAATCGCTAATCAGATCGATCTGTCTCGCCAAATAGTACCTTTGCTTACAGAGATTTCGGAGAGTTCATTTTACGGTTCGCTACTCACTTTTTTTCATTTAACGCTTTTTCTATTGAATTGAAAATATATTAAAAATTCTAGCTTAAATTTATGGAAAACATTTGAATTTCTTAACTGTAATTCGAGCTCATAATAGTTTTGTTCTTCCATATGGATAGGTTTCAATGTTTCATTGACAAATTTTCAATTTGCTGAAACATTTTTGAATTAAAATTGCTATTGATTACAGTAGTTTTGAATTTTACTTATGGTAAAGCATATGACACAGGAATCTTTGCTTTAACAGTTTTTCAATCTTTAAAATAATGTGGATATTTATTTTTAGGACTTCGACTAATTGAACCATTGCTATTGATTCAGGAAGCTGTGATTTGCGCAATACATTATGATAAGAGAAGTATGGAAGACTTGACTGCAGTGCCGTTTCATGTTTTGGAAATCGAAAATCAGGTAAGTTTCAACAATAGGTCTGCGAGGAAAAATCCTTAATGAACGTTTGTCTTTTCTTTTTTATTTTAAATAATCATAGCATTTCTGCTTGATGTTAACGGAACTATATTTCCAGAAATGAGACAGTTGTATGCGAGTATTTCATAAATGAATTGTTCCATTTTTTGTTTGCTCGCTCTTAATTTTTGGAACTTTCATTTTGCCATTATAATCAGCTGTCTAAATAATATTGTTCACTTAATTTCCAGGTGGCAGTGAAATTGTTGAAATTATTTTGCGAACTTGCAAAAGATCATATACAGAAGGAAATGATCGATTTGCGTAGATGCTACATAATGCACAAAGTTGAAATTAAGTAAATAAGTTGAAGTTGTAAATATTGGCCCATTCTGAAAACCCTTAATAATGCACATGTTGTTTTAATTTCATCCATTTGAAATTTTAGTACTTCCAATATCATTGAAACAGCAGGATCTGTATGGGCCATGGATAGAAAAGTCTTTAGTTTTATTTTCCAAGCAAGTTTGTTTTGTAATAATGACTGTGTTTGGTAATGAGATACGTTATTTTGCAGAGAACCAAAACCGAACCTAAGTGATGTGAATATTAATCGTGAAATACGTGTTGAAACAGAATTGATCCAACTTTATTTTGCGGCGGTTGTTCTCTCAAATCATATTATCGGGGTTCGTTAATATTTTCAATGAAATATGATTTTTCTAATTAATTTTAATGAAATTTGAAGTTTATTGGAAACTGTTGATTTTATAAAGTTAAATTGAAAATTTGATTCTCATTGTAGTTGCCGCATTATTTGAAAATATTGTTGGTACAATTGACTAATTTCCACATTGAAATGGGAAGGATGAAACTTGGTTCAACCTTTGATGAAATTATCAATAAAGCTTTATTGGTAAGACACTTTTATTTGAATAAATGCACAGCAGTTTTTCAGGAGTTCAAAATACAAATATCGAAATTAGGAATCCGAGAATATATTAAATAAGATAACAATAGATATGATTTGGTGTTTATATTCAATGCAGTGTTATCAGCTATTGTTTGATGGATAATGTTAATATTATTTGAAATTTCGAGCTTATTTTGCCTTTCAGTATAGATTTTATATGCATTATAGACAAGAAGGTTTCTTTATTTTTTGGTGATACCGATTTTAGCAAAAAAATATCGGAAGGCAATTTAAAACTTAACTATAAATCGAATTGCGTAAATATTTCATTGCAGAATCAAGATGTAAAGGAGAATACGGTAAATAATAAGCAGCCTTTTGAGAAGTTTTCTGGTTTTCCTGATTTTAACCAAGGATTGGCTTCAACAGAGATGAGTGAGATGAGTTATTTGTCTTTGCCGACTTTCACCGTTTCAAACACTGAATGCGAAACAAACAGAAGAATCGGTATGTGATGTTTTAAAAAACCAAACAATAAGGTTTCTTCAGATCTGTAGAGTTGTTGTTGAAGTTTTATATATGCATGTGAACTATTTTGTCTGTTTGAAATTGAAATTTCACTAGATTTATAAATGTTTCTTAACTAAATTTTTACCCATTCTCACTTTGTTTTCTGGTAAAGTAGTGTTTGATGCTTTACTGTTATCTGAGTGCTTGATTGTACTTATGTTTGATTTATTATAAGACTATTATCTCTTTCGCTTTCGATTAACTGAGATGCTTACTATTATTCTTGAATGTCAAATTTTTTATTTTTTAACAGACCTGTCATATGAGAATATTATTGTAGGTAGACTGAACTTAGAATTTTTTGACATTTTTGAACTTTGTTGATTTTTAGTTTTGGTTTTGTAGTACCTAGAAATTACAGAAAATCCGTCATTCCGAGACAGTGAAAAATTTATATAAATCGGACAGACCATCTAATGAAATGATAGAAGATGCACCTTAGTTGATATTCATCGTAGATTAATATGAAATGATGGGACAAAAATATGGTATGGGGGAGCATTAAATAACAGCAGTGAGAAACTGTTGGTAAATGAACCATTTATATAAAACGAAAAGAAACATAAATTAAAACATTTCTCATTACCTCTACTTTATCAGCCAAACCTCCTACAGTGCGTCAATAGATTTTGTTTTCTTCAGATCTTTCAATTAGAAAAAAAGTAACTGTCCTTAGACTTTTGACATGGCTATATTTTTTCTCACTTTTAAATAAACACCACTCTATCATACTTTATTATCTTTATTCGTATTATTCTCTTTATTCTTTCAATAAGACAACAAATACTGTCTCATCTTCGATTGAGAGTTTTATACAGGACTTTAAATAACACATGAAAAGATCAAGAAATGAAACCAAGAGGAAGTTCGTGAAATTTGCGCATTTTTTGAATATTTTTGGATTCGAAAAAATTTTTTTGTCTAATGATATTGCGAAATCCAGAAGCCTAAAAGGAGTTTTATGTTTCAGATCTTACAAGTGCAAGCATTGAAGCAACTCGAGATCCATTTAGTGATCGCCTTGCCGAGATGTCTGAGCAGAATGCAATCTTTATGGTATGATTTATTCAAATTTTGCTTCTAGCTTTTGCTGTTTTTGCGTTATATATGACAAAATTTTTTCAGTCCAATCACATATTACTGTTGTTTCATTCTAATTACTCTGAAACACAAGTGAAGTTTAATGAACAATTCCATGGATGATGGTCGCTTTATTGATTCTAACTTGAGATGTCATAAGGAAGCAAAAAATTCGTTCTTAGGCCGGTACACGAATGATAAAAGACCGGACAATGTCAACGATAATAGAAAACCATTTTCGTAACAACAAAGGAAACAATATGTGGAAATCAGCTGTCGGGCCAAGGCCAAGACGTGGAGCTTTACCACTATTTTCGGTAGAACATGATCATATACATGATGGTGGGCATGAAGAGCGTCAGCTTGACGATCGAGGTGGTGCTGAAGGTATTTCCAATGTTTTTCTATTCTCTCATTTAGGGGAAAGATTAGCAAATATCATGAAGCTCTTGGTTTTTACATTATTGAGCATTTTTTAAAATCTTTCAAGTTTTAAATTCTTCAGTTAGTAATCGTTTAATCCAATTAAACAATTTCTATTCTTAAAATTTGGTAAATTAAAGTAGTGAAGTGACGACATTGTGGTAATTGAATTCTAATGGATCGTTCTTCATGTGGATACATAATTATCGTAACAGCTATTGTATTTTTAGATAGTGCGAATTGTAGATGGAACAATAATAGTGACATTAATAACGGTGGTTTTCGTCGCAAAAATAAAAAACGCAAATGAACTAGCTAAGTTTTGCCTAAAATTATAGCACAATATAACTGGGTATCATATGTATTCCATTCTTTTTTTATCATCATTCCTAAAATCCTATTAATATAGGATTAGAAATTTATTAAGATATATTTTAACTTCTGCCCTAGTCGTAAGATTTATCCACTTTTCATTGTTTTTCTGTCGCTTAGCTTTATGTGGAATTTCATGAAGATATGTTTAAACAATGCCTTTATGCAAGCGGGCAACAGACGTAAGACTTCCTCGTATTTTGATCGAAAACTGCAAAGGGCTTTGCTTAGATGCTTATTTTACTGTTAGTATTTTACCGTTAAATAAGGAATTTTAAATTCTTTAGTTGTTGTTTTTGGTATATTTCTGTAGTTTTAAAATTCGTTCAAAATTTTATTTTTAATCTTCAAGAAGAGATTAGTTGTTATTTTTTGATATATTTCTGTAGATACAGTGTTTGTAATCATCTTTTCCATATGTCCTTCAGATCTCTCCATTATTCATGTTGTATATGTATTTATTATTGCGAGTTCAAAACTTTGTATCATAGCTATTCATTTGTGTCGTTATTTTTGAGTAACAGTGTTATAAAAGTTAAAAACAATTAGCAATTAGAAAGTTCACCGCGATGTTAATATTGGGGAACTGGATGAAAATTTGGAAAAGTTCATTGAAAATTTTGGAAAATAATTAAAAGTGAGAGAAAGGCTAATGGACAAAAATTTTTCAAATTGGATGCTTAAAATATGATTTCATATAAAACTTCATAAAAGTGATGTTGAATTCAGTTATTATCGTAAATTTCATTTCTAATTGTAATAATTACATGTTAACGCTTTCTTTATTGTTTAATTTATTCCATCAGTTTAACGAGTTAGTAAAGTGTTGCTTTGATCGGAAGTTGCTTTTTTGATTTTCAGTACAACGTGAACAATCCGCTAAATTAGTTCATGTGATACGTATCAGAACTGGCACAGTTTCTTTTTAATGATGATATTAAATGGACATGTAATCCATGCAAAAGGAACTTCAATCTGTAAATAGAAACGAATATGATGTATTATTCAGTGCTAAAATATCCAACATGAACACTTCATATTATTCATGCCTGAAAGTTAGAAAAGGAGATTCATTGTGCTTTTCTATGTTAAAGGTCTGAAATAAAAATAGAATTGCTGTCGCAGGAATGGGATTGCAAAGCTAACTGATAATTACTTGATACTGAATGATTGCATTTGAAGTGATGTATTCCATGTTGCATGTCAGTACATAGTATTGTATATTAAACTTTTTTCCTAATATAAGGAACTTCAAGATTAAACGGATCAGAGTAAGCTCATTATCGGTAGTGTTTTAATGTATTGTAACAATTCGGTTCATTCGTCCTGTCATGTGGAAAAATAGGACTGCGATCTATTGCTCTCAAGGAATATATCATTCTATTTTCAATATTAAGACATTGGCTCTGTTTTTGGGTAGAATAATAATAAGGTAAGAAGTAACAAGAGCATTCATAGTTAAATTGATGGAAGGAATAAAATTTGATCTTTGTTACTTCGTTCTCTTTTTACTTTTCTTCAATCATAAAAGAGCAATATTTATTTTGTAGTCCCATTCAACTGATCAACACTTATTTGCATTACTCTGGCAATTATAACTATTGCTAACAAGATGTTATATTTAACTTATAAAAAGACCGAAGATTATGATTTATTGATGAAATATCGTTTCAGTGTGTTCCAGTCCAATTCTCATCACATATCCTAAATATCCTAAACTACTCTCCCATATCCTAAACTATCAACTGGTAGTTTACAATGATCCTGTTTATTTTTGAATATTTTCAACATAAATATTCTCCTGTAAAATTGTCTTTAATTTTGATCAGTATAGCTACATCATTACTATTCATAGTGTGAAAAATTCCAATAAGAACGACTATTACCCAAAACTTGCAAGATATAGTGACTGTCATCCATATCAATCCTGTTACGTTCAATTGAATTTTTTGGAATAAAATAGATTGCTATCGGATATCATCATATTAGTGTTAAGCATAAAAAAATTTTTGAATTCTTTAAAATATATTTATAAAAAAAACTTACCTTATTTTGCGTATGTATTTTGTAGTATATTATACGTATAATTATACATACCTCGAAACGAAAGTTCTTTAGAAAAGGCCAGAAATCAAAAGGATTAGTTTAACTATCTATCATATATATTGCATGTAATACTAATCTTTTTGATCGGTGATCGCTTCTAGCAAAATTAATATTTCCATCATAGTCAGTTCTATTCTCCGTTATGCAATACCACCTATCGATTAAGCATAATTATTTCTTTCTATTTAAAACAGATTTAGTGAATACAAATGATAATGGTATGATAGATGAAAGTTTTTTAGAGCTTTTTAAATACTTTTTGTCGAATTTTTTTTTGATGACGACCATATATTTGTGATAGTTTAATCAAAAGTTTCTCTTTTCAACAATTAGTTCGTTCAATTTGTGATCGAAATTTTTCCCAAAACTTAAATGATCCATTCAATAATGAATTCTTTCTTTCTAACTTTTTTCAAAAAAAGCTCCAAAATATCAAATTATAAAGAGTTTATGTGAAAAAATTGATGATAAACACTTCTAATGAACTTTAATTTAAATTAAAAATTTCAAATTTCTGAAAAACAACGGTACCACCACATTGGTTGTCAGTTGTCTATTGAAATGAAATAAACATCCTTCTATTTTAGTGGAATGTATTTTGATTTGTGATGTTTAACTTTTCCTCAATCGTGGATGTTTTTCGGTGCAATAAAACATCAAAGTCACATTAATCTTTAATTTGATTAGTTCATTTACAGACAAAAAAATTCTCGATGTGCTATTGACGTATAAGCTGAATATTGTTAATCCATGGATCAATTGACAAGTGATTCATGTAGGCAAAATCAATCATCAATAAAACCGGAGGCATGGCAAAGTATCTTGTTTTTGTAATATCCGATATAAGTTTCCATAGGCAATAATTTGATATATCATTTAAATTTTACGTTTCATTTTTCATACTACTGACATACGCTGCTAAAAGTATGAGAAGTATGATCTTAAATAATACAATTAGCATACATTTATATCTGTCACACATATAAAAATTAAAATTTCATTTAGAGTGAAAAAAATGAACTAAAGTTAAATTTTACGTAAAACAAAGAAATAAGTGAAAATTAAAGTTAGAAATAAATTAAATTACAGCATGGGGTATTGGTATGGTAATTGTAACAATCTCAGCATTTGCTTCTCCATTATTCATACTTTGTGTTCCGCTATTAAATGAGAAGTTTTACGAACGTGTTATGACATTTCTGGTAGCTCTCGGTATCGGTGCACTTTCCAGTTCCGTCATTTTTATTATGCTACCACAGGTATGCAATTTTCTATTTGAACTTTTAATTAATTTAATCTCAAACTTATTTGAATTTTTTGTAATTAATAATTTTATCAAAAAATTGATAAGATTTATATTTTATAAGATATATAAATTTGTATTTCCAGGCTTTTGGGGTACCAGAGACAAAGGGATTCGTGAAGTCATTGATCGTTCTCGGATCATTGTATATATTTTTTGCTATTGATAGGATACTCAAATTTGCAATGGAAATAAAACGAGTTCGTTTGATTCTTTCGTTATTTATTTGCTTACTTAAAAATTTTCACTTAGTTGTCACTAAATTTCTAAACTATAATTATTAATTTTCCAAATGCCAACAAATTCTTTTACAAAAAGAATGATTTTTACTCTTTCAAATACTTTTATGTATTATTTAAATATTTTTTTTAATTATTATATTTCCACGAAATTTTGATAAGTTCAAATACAAATGATATTGTAGCAACGGAAATCACGAAAAGTGCCAATGATTGACAAAAAAAATGAAACGGATTTAGCGATGAAATTTTCCAAACCAATAAGTCGTGAAAATTCTTGTACTAAAGATGAAATTGTGCAAATTCAGGTTTTCTTCAGTTTACGAATAACATTTGTTAAATTTATATTGTTTTGATTGGATAAATTAGTCCATTTATAATTAATTTTTTTTTATAAAAATTCTCAGATAATATTTTAAGATAATAATTAAAATAAATTCCAGGCCGAGATCGAAAGTGCGGTAGTTAATTCAGCTATCACAAGAACGGTACAATTTGGCTTACAATAATTGCATCAAATTGATTCTAGAGATTCAATAAATAAAATTATGAAAGATAGTTCAATTTTTGAATAAGATTTTCTCAATATTTAAAAACTCAATCAAAAATTTCTAAATATATGTAAACGATTTAACAATTTCAAACATCCCAATAAATATTCCCTAAAAATTATTTTAGTTTTCAACACATAAAAAAATCCCCGTAATTATGCATGTGGAAGACGCGGAGAGTCGCGTAGATAACAATAATTCTTTGAAAGTACCACAATCGATCACGACAATTTATTCCACTTCTCCAACATTTTCTCAAAACCAGGTTCAGTGCAGTACAGTTCAAATATTTCTACATTTCTTTTCAAACCATCGTTTCTTCGAGTTTTTAAAAGTTCAATATTTTATTGAAAAATAGATAAAGTTAAAAAGTGTATTGTATAATTTTTAAGGTAAAGGAAGGTGAAAAAATGAATGTATCCGTAGCTGTGGTTGAGCAAATGCAAGTTCGACCAGAAAAAATGGAAATTTCCAGTATCGCCTATATGATCTTATTAGGCTCTTCAGCTAATAATTTTGTTGATGGAATGAGTAATGGCGTTGCTTTTGCGGATTCGCTAAGCCGGGGCCTTAGTATTGGTATTGCATGTATTGCGCAACAATTTCCGCAAGAATTGGGTCACTTTTCATTGTTTTGCGTATATTTTAATATTTTTAATATGACTAAAATGGCAGGTATTAAATTGATGCTTGCAAATGCTTTTTCACAAAATTACATGAATTGAAATATCTAAATTTGGCTGTTTTAAGTTATATTTTATTCATTTTTAAATTTAGGTACTCTTGCTATTTTGATACAGTCGGGATTGGGCCTCAAGAAGACATTATTGTTGAATTTAATACCAGGTGGTCTGAGTTATCTCGGATTCTTTACTGGGGCACTATTGGATGATTACTGTGAGAGTGCTGATACATACGTTTTTGCCATTTCATCTGGAATGTATCTTTATGTTTTATTGAGTACTTTGGTTAGTTTTTTTTTCACTTAATGTAATAATCGATCGTGCTGAATAGCTCATTTATTTATCGTTGCGCCTATTTTACATTTATGCTAAACAATCTTAGTTTATATTTCAATGAATAAAATTTGGGAAGAATATAGAAATGGAATATGAGAATGTAATTTCATGAACAGAATAGCTTAGCGCATTTATTGTTGGTATTAATATGTTGTAAAAGAATTTCCTGAACCATTCTTAATTCTAATTGCTTTTTTCTCGACCTTATATTTATTAACTTTTATCACTATGAAGAACAAACTCCGCAACTAATGTTTGTTCTCCTGTAAAATTCAGCATCACACTTAGTTTCTTATCGTTTAATTTAAGAGACTACTAGCAAATATTTCAGATTGAGGGCTTTAAAATAAATATTTTAATTTAAAATACATGAGGTGAAATAAAAAAATCTATATTCGTGTAATTTAGATCAAAATGTTATTATTTCAGATTCCAGAGATGCGTGAAGCAACCACTGAATTAATCAGAAATAATTTTCATGAAAGTATTATTGTTACTGTGTTACAAAGTGTAGGCATTATACTCGGTGTTTCTTTCATTTGTTACATGTCATTGAATACTGATAAAATACAATTCTGATTTTTGTTTATGTATTGAAATGTAATTGTGATTTGTTTCAAATTTTTAAAACGATGTCCTGTGACTGTCTCTTTCCTAAACTGCAAGGATAAAAGGTCAGATAGATTTGATGGCCTCTTTAGTTACGCTAATATCAGGTGGTTCGAGACAAATTTCTATCATCATCTATTCTTTTTAAAAAAACAAAGCAAATTCAACTGTCTTTAAAAACTATAATATTTCCATTCTTCTTTGAAATTTAAGAGACATCAATAACTGTTTGAAAATTGGAATCTCTCAAATGGTTGTCATGTGACACCAGAAGTATGTTAAGTGGGAGTTGAAGTGAATTTATTGTAATGATTTTGAACGTGAAATTTTCTGACCGATAGAATGTACATTCCGGCACTTTGTCCATTTATACTAATTAAGATATAAATAAAGGATTGAAAGTATGTCTACAATGAAAAATAAATCTAAACAATTTATCAAACATTCTCCGATAATAAAAAAAAGAAATTTTTTAAAGCAAATTTAGACTGATATCCTTTACCTTATATATAAGGTCATTTATAGTAAAATTTTTTCCAACTGATATATGAAATGTACAAAATAAATATGTAAATAAACCAATCAAAAGAAAACCGAACAACAAATAAAGGAGAATGTATTATTAAGCAGAATGTATTAAGTGATTGTAGTATTGAATTCAGTTCCGATAATACTCCGATTCATTATGTCCCAATTTTCCTTACCAGAAGATTCACTTGTCGTTTTAAACTGTTTTTGAGCCGCTTCATCTTCAACCTGTAATGATACCTGGATAAATGATAATTAGTTTGATTCCAAACTTTACTAAATCGACATATTGCTAATAAAGAATTAACTGCTACTTGCTATTTAATAACAAATTGCAGTTTTTATGGAATTAAAGTAAGGTCCGAAACATAAAATGAATTGGTCTTAAAAAATGAAAATTAGCTGGAATCTTCAGGAAGAAAAAAACAAAGATGAAATTGAGAAAAAACAAAAATGAAATTGAACTTTACGTTTAGTTATTGAAAACTAACTTCAACATTGTGATAATAATCATCATTTTCAGGTTGCCTATAATTCACCGTCTCTCCTGAAATTCTCTGCTGTTCTGATGTTTCAAAATTGCGAGAAACACTTCCTATTTCGACATCCGAATTTTCATATTGCGTGGGAAATCGTATGACATCCGATCGTTTATCAGTGGTAAAGAAATTTTTGATCTTTTCCAGAAATGAAAGGAATAGGCCAACAGGATTATTGAATGAAATGGGACTGTTGTTAAACTGTAAAGATTTTATGATAATTAGAAAAATAATAACAATATAGTTGTAAAATTTAAAATCCATAATATCGACAAATGTAATCGAATAATTTATTAAACTATCATAGAATTTTGAAATAAATATATTTTAAAAATTCGCCATTTGATAATTAAATTAAAAGTAAAATTGTAGGAAATAAACAAAAGAAAAAAAGAAGGAAAAAGAAAAATCATAAGAGAAATAAACAAAAGGAATATAATCACTCACATACAACATTCAGAAATTAATCTATCCAATTTCTTTTTAGAGACTTCACTTAGAAAATGATACAGCAAAGTTCAAAAAGCAACGAAAGTTACAAAAAGAAGGATTTCTTTGGATACATATATATATCAGTTAAGATCAGCTTTGGTAATTTAAACTACAACTTTTTTTAATCGTTTGTCACACCATTTAAAGTAAAAAGAATTGAACGAAAGAAAGTTTACAAAAAAATGCTTTGAATGGCAAAAACCAGTTCTCTTATAAAAGACTTACATTTAAAAAGTTTCTAAAATCCACTCCTTCAGCTTCATTAATATTAATACCGGAATCAGCACTAATTCTTTCTCCAGCAATCAATGCTCCTTGTCGTGCTAAAGAAATATATTGACAATATCTTCATTTTAAAAATCAGACGGCTAAATTCTATAAAACTCTCATCAATTAATAGACAACCTTTGGTATTAAATCGACCTTCACCAATTGTTAAATCGACTCCACGATCACCTCCGAATCCCAAAATATTCGCCGCTTGATTGAAAATAAATTTCAGATCACCACGTTTATTTTGTCCCAATGAAAAGGAACCCAAATCAATTTGACATATCACTGAAAATTTGACATTTTTCTCTTTTTTTTCGCTACCATTATCAAATCAACTAACAATAGAGGTTTTCCTTATTTCATAAAAAAAATCAACAAGGAATAATCATCAGAACTATCATCACGTCTATCACGTCATTCAAACGTACACGTCAATCTATGTCGAACGCACTAAGCAACTATTCCCTCATCTGTTAACTAATTCAGACTTAGTAGAGCAGTATCTGCTGAAATCTTTTTAGCTTTCTCCGAGTTTCTTAAAATTCATTGCTTTTTTGAACTTTCATCCTATCAAATCATTATCGTCTCCTATACAATTCATTTCATAGATACAAAATTTGCAAAGAAGAAAATAAAATTACAAAAATTAGAATTTCTAGATTATCTTATCGCTTGCGAACAGCGATATCCAAAAAGAAAAGAATTAAATGAGTGAGAAATATTACACTTACCAGCGGGAATCCCCAAGTTAACAAGAAGAATGCTTTTGAATATAAATGACATCGCGTATTTCAAATTATACGAATGTTACATATTCGAGAACTACTTGAATTAATAGACGGAAGAGGATTAAATTGCTGAAAGTAATGGAATTATTTCAAGTTTAAGATTTTAGTATAACATGAAAAGATATTATTATATTATGCTAACGTTATGTGATGAAAATAATGAACCAATGCAATCATTACGGATAAATATAAGCGAAGAAAAGAATGAAAACCGTAAGAAATTTAATAAATAAATATCATTTGAAGAATTGAGAAATCATAAAAAAATATAAATCATTAAATTGTGTGCTCAAATCAAAATAATTTCTTTTTTCCAAATGGATTTGTCATTTACGACCGATAAGATTCTCTTACTATTCAATAGAACGAGAAGTGAACAGGTTTATTAAAAGCTTCCAACAATGGATCCCACTATACTAACCTATTGTGTTGACATTTTACAAATGTCTAGATGAAATGAATCCCCTATAAATCGGGCAATGTTCCATCGCTGCACATCATTAATGTATACAAATCACCGAATTGTTGCTAAAATTAAAATAAATTGAAAGTTTCTTTTTTCTGGATCTGTCACTTTTGATCGAGAAGATTGGATCTGTCACTTTCGATCGGTAAGATTCTAATTACTAGTAATTACGATTTTTACCATCTCGCAATACGTTAACAATCAGAGTAACTTTAGGGTATGAATTTTTATAGAACAGTAAAAATAACAACGGTCCAAATAGTGACCATGTTTTTAAAAAATTATAGAGAAAGTGGTCAGAAATCAAAAGAAAAGGAGATAATTTTCAAAATTTATCACGCTAGAGTGGTAAGTTGAAAATCAAAATCTCTATTTCTGTTCCCTCGGAAGTAACATCTACTCTTCCTTTTCTCATCGTTTTCAACAAACTAAGATTTGAAATGATTCAGCACTCTGATTATTGGAAACAAAAACATTTTGGCAGTTCAAGACTTTATTTATGACATATCAGAATCATATACTGAACTTAAGGAACGAAAGTACACGGATATATAGATACAAGACACTTGAAGAGATCTCGGCACACATTATTACGCGACCCGATAAAATACAGAGAAGACAAAAAATCCTGAAGAATATAATGCATGCACCAAGTGCTTTTTCAACATTAAGGCGATAATTAAAACAAAAAAAGTTAACAAATGCAAAAATAGTAAGCGATTTCGATGCAAAAAATAAAGGGAATGATAAACAATGAAATGCCTTTTAAGTTCAAGCTGAGGTTTATTACAAAGTAAAAAGAAACTAAGAGAGTCAAATTATGGCGATTCTCATGTGCGTCTGTAGATAGGTAAAGGAATGCGACTTCTGGATGCGCCTCGTGGTGTCGGAATAGGTAAGCGAGATCCATAGTTGCGAATCTTAAATTAAAATTTGAAAGCTATTTAAAACTCTTAGTGAAAGCCTCAGCAAAAACCGATTTATGAATGTGTGAAACTCCCATGAAATTCAGTCTGATTAAACAAATCCTGTAAGAAACAGTAAGTGAACATGTTATGTTTCAGAAACTTCAAGCCTTAACAATCTCCGTGCATTTGCTCGAAAAATCTAACAGCCTGAGAAGTCAGGAAGCCAACATGAATTAGAAATGAGTTAAAAAAACAGTTTCATAGCTAGTTTCGCTTGGGAATTTGGCACAGGAGAAGTGCTGCATTTCAACTGGAGTTAAAAAAAGTAGACAAAAAAGATTGAACTGTAACACAAAACCACTGACAGATGGAACTGTAAAGTTGGCTGTATCAGATTGCTTCGTTTCACGACTAACAGCTTGTACTGGAACCGATTCTTCTGCACTTGCAATTCCTGAAAAAGATAAAGAATGAAAACAGAAAATATTTCTAATCAAAAATCAAAAAACTCCCCAAAATTTTGACATTGGTCACCTGATTCTCTTTCTTTCACACTATATGATCCGTTTCTCTTGAGTGATTTCTCGAGATCAATAGAACTATGTAATACAATATCCATTTCTTCCGCAGCATCAAAAAACACATCTTGTTCACTTGAATTATTCGTTTCATAATTTTTTGCTTTATTAGTTCTTGGTATCTGAATACCTAAAATATCGCGAACGTCAAGCAGAGATATGGATGGAACAAAAAGTACGCCACAAAAATTGAAGAATTCCGTCTCATTTACAGAAAGATAACACAGTTAAACGTGATATGAACCAAGATGTAAATTGATAGTCTATATATGCATGGATGTAATAAACCGAAATACCAAAATATTTCGCAATTAGCTTCTGCTGTGGCATGAAGTAGTTTTGCTGATAGTATTCTTACTAATTCCTCACATTTTACTTCCATTGAAGCAGTTGGAACTGCAGAACGGACCGGCTTAATTCCAGCTGTAGACATTTTCGCACTGTTAAACTTTGACTTTGAAACCACTGCATCAGAAGGCACTTTTTTGGTGATCTTAACATTACCTTTTGAACCCTGAAAAACCATACAACCAATACTCAAAAAACAGGAAAAAACCCTCCACCTTTCTGACTTTATGCGAGTTGAGATTTTGAAATATTTGCGAGAAAATGATGTCTAGTCAAGCAATAATACTATCCGCACCCACCTTCATCCTTGCACCAGCATTAAGTGCCTTATCACTTTCGACTTTCGTAGTAGCTACTGTTGATTTCGTTTTTTGATGTAACTTCAAAATTGAAGCAGAAGCATTTAGTCCAAACTCTTGTATTAGTTTTTCACAGTTCTCACGGACCTGAGGAACTTTTAACAAAATTATAAGATTAAAGACTGGAAAAAAGTAGTTTCTATTTCAAATGAGAATTACTTCTTCATTCAAAAACTTGGGAGTGCCGCGGAGAAGACTAACATCATAGTAACTGAACTCAAGTTCCGAAGTAACCTTATGCCGATTTACCTTTGCCGATTTATTAGCATCTTCCATGATGTTCCTGCAACATTCATTGACAATATTCTCACCGGCAATCTTCATGATGGCTCCAACTGCGACAAGCGATGCCTCACGACTATCTGGATCAGCATCGAAGGACAGCTTAAAGTAGAACAAACTCAGATTTAGTTTTCGAGTTTTAGCATCAGTAATGCTGATGAGTGCTCTAACACAGAGATGAGATACATAATCCTATAGCTTCCGTAGCACGAATAAGCAAACCTAACAAGCGACTAAACTTGCCACATGTTAGCCCTTTCCAAATGAGCAATTTCTACCGCCGTCATCGAATTACACTGCCACCATATTTAACTCTTATTAATGTTTGCTAAGTTTTCTTTTCTTTTCATTATTAATACAAAAACCAATTACCTTAGTTAGTGCAGGTCCAAGTCTCTCCTTTATACAGTCCATCGGTAAAGTATGCACATTGTGTTGACGTAGTAACCTTGAGAGGAAGAGAGCAGTTTGTGTCTTTATCTGAGGATTTGGCTTCCGCAGTGCAATCTCCACAGCCTCGATATATGCAGAAAGGGGAGTCTGAGAATTCATTTAGATAGAACGTATTTTTGAGGAACATTCACTATTTTATCTTCGCAATAATTCTAACATCTTCAACTATGCAATATACGACAAATCTTTAGATGTTTAAGAAATTCCACTCACAAATAAAGCAAGAACGTCACAAAGTTCAATTAACGGCTCGCGAAGAATTAATTTCTTCTCCTTGAATTTTTCGAAGACGGAAATATAAATCTGAAAATTATCCAAACAACGACAGAATAAATAAATACTCCAGAATTAAATTAAAAAACTTATTAAAAAAGGCAATACTGGGAAACTCTCCGGTAGATTAGATTTACTTGATGGACGAATCTTTTTTTACTAAATAGTTATTGAATTTCCCAGATAAAGAAATCTTACTTTTGGTATGAACGTAGCGAACTTATAACGCAAGCCATTTGCAAAACCTGTTATACACTTCGCTGCAACTGCAGCTACATTAATATTTGCATCATTCTCGAGTATCTGAAACAGAAAACAATAATCAAAAGATAGACAAATCCAGCTTATATAGAAGTGGAATTTTAAAACATTTACCTTACGGAGAATTCCAATCAACTCCGAATGATCTTCATCAGGGCAAAGTCGCGGATTGCTCTCCAAAATTCTGCATAATATCTATAAATTTCAAGCAGTGTAGTTATTTTCAAGCTAAATTTACTGTCAATATTTCATCTGAATTACTTCTCCTCTCAAGGTAATGCCAAATATCTAAAATTTACCTCCAGTGTTTCTTTTCTATCGTCCCACCGCTTTGAGGCCAACTTTGCCTGTATATCACATGGAATTTTAGTACTGATTTTCGTTTCAGTCAGCAATTCCCAGGAACTAATCTCTGCATCGGGCTGAACTGAATCACCAGCTGATTGTCCATAACATTCCTAAATTCTCAAACAGAATAAAATTTGTTTTCTGCGCGGTCCTCAAGCTGGTATTGTAGAGATAATCTGAAACTGGTTAGGATACGACCTAGAACAGAGGGTTAGGGCAACAGCGACCTTTTCATTGTTAGTCATTATGAATAAGAATAAAAACAGATCAATAACAAATAATTTTCTACATCTTATATATATATTATTTATGTGGAAAACAAAAGAAACAAAATTTCTAGTCTTTATATCATTGAAAATAAACCCTATTTTCGCTCAGAGTGCAAGATTCCAAAGCAGCATGGGTTTCGCTTCGTGTCTGTTCATACGCTTCAAAATCTTTCTCAGATTTTTCCAAGTACCCCATAATCTTTTTTAATTTAGTTTTATCAGAGAATATTCCATCGACGACAGAAGCCATCACTTTTTCTTCAACTAATCGTAAAATAGCGCCAAAAACCATACAGCTTCCCTCACGGACGTCCGGATCACTGTCTTTGCTGTGCTAAAAAAATCTTTTCTATGCCACACAATTAAAAATGAAATATTATTTTTAATTGGTAAGCAAGCTAGATGGAGTAAAACAAGAGAAAATTTTACTTTAACAAGATATGGTGTAACACTTTTGATAAATGACATGGGTACGGCACTTCGTGGATATCGGCATAATATACAATAAATCCACTGGTCTATACCTGCTTTCATATTGGGATTTCTGGTTTTTTCTAAAGCTTCACATATGGGATCAGTAAGAATTGCGATATCACACTGAAAAAGAGATATGAAGCTGACGATAGCCAAAATAACTGACTAGAGAATCATTACAACAAACATATAATTCTTTAAATAAGCATGTAAACATACATGTTCAGCAACAAGGGATAAGCATTCCATAATAGCTTCCTTGACTGAGGCTTTTTTTTCTTTAAATTTCTCTAATACATGCAACAGGACCTGTAACATTTTTAATTCTCTTGACTTGAATTCAAATTAAAATTTTAATTCTTTTTGATAATTTCGCCCAAAATTCTTTTATAAGTTATAAATATTTGAAAGCTGAAACATTTTGGATTAGAAGATACGTGCCATAGGAATATATTTCATAAAATTTTTGCGTAACCCCTTAACGAACGCTGTTAACGCTCGCAATGCCAGTATTACAACGGCGATATTTGAATCCTTTGATATGATCTGAAAGAATGCTCTATTTAAGATTACCCAATTTTCCTCCAAATTAAAAAAATTTAGAATGCTTTGACTTCATTCTGTAGAAAAATGAAGCAGTCCATTTTCCTTATTTGATTACCATGTTAATTGCTGTCGAAAAATTGAAAAAAAACCACTCATGATGATAAACGCAAAAACGCTATGCATGCTCCGATATTACAGTTAATAAGCAATAAATCCCCAATAGCTTCACTTGTTAAGCAAGTAATAACTCAAATTTTATTAAATGGATAGTCTGAACAGGAATAAAAGAATGAAATGCACCAACCAATTTTAATTCGGCTAGAATTTCATTGTATTTTATTTCGGGATCAATGCACGAATGCTGCGATAAATTATTAATAAGTGCTAAGAGCACATCTCGTCTTTCATCCCATTTTGCTGATCGGATTGTTTCGAAGAAGCCAGGGGGCAAATGATCTGTTACATCCACTTTATCCATCTCATGAACCTTTAATATGATCTGATCATTTATCATTAATAAGCAACTATTATTAAATGGATAAAATGATGATTGATACTGGATTCCTTTCAACGACAATTGATAAGTAACAATTATTCTTGATATGATAATTAATGTTGACTCCTTTTCACAATACTCAAATTCGCTATTTCAGCACCGCAATGAACAAAGTTTACTGCAATTTTTATATTTGACGATACACGCGCAATTAAGTCACACCGACCAACCAGTCCTTATACAAACAAAATACCTTACCTGCCCGGTGACAAAGCATTATAGCCAAATGTTTTCCTCTTGTTTTTCTCTTTCTCTAGACAATTCGCACACATTTTCATATCTGATGATTTTTTGAGCAATTAATCTCTCACTTTCTCTCATTCTTCACCGCACTGCTAAATGTGACTATCTAACATTTTCTTAACCTATCGTTACATCATTCTTTCTTATTTTCTCATATCTCTGCATCTTTTCAACCTATCATTCTCCTTACAGACTTTTTCACCATCTTTGAAATCCGATTTATTTTCCGGTATTGATAAAATATAACAGCTGCATGTGTCATGCGGATAACAAATAAATAGAGTTGTTTGGTAGATCGATGCTAGCAGGGAGACATCTCCGCGAGAACATGGTTAGCAATATGGATGACAGTTCAAACTCAGTAATCAAGTGGTTTAAATGTGCGGTCCATTCACGATTATCAACGTTACACGATCTAGTGAGAATAAATTGAGTGGTAATAATTAATGAGATCTTTTAATTTCCACTTCATTGCACATTCAGAACGTAACCCATTTTTTAGCGCTGTTGTTGACAATATCAACTCATTGCTTAGAAGTCTTCCCATCAATTTCCTAAACATTTTTTTCTTTCAAAAATTTGCATTGGAATAAATGAGGAAGAGCACATGTTGTGATATGTAAAGTAAGCCAAGCAAAAACCATCGAAGGGCACCGGAGACACGTACCCTATATCTTGGCGATTTCATGATTTTCCTCTTCTTTCTCGCCATTCCATCATTCCGTCATCCTCTTCCTCTTTCAATTTATGACACCTGTCTTCCAGCTGCATGTCACAGCATCCATTATTTAAAATATTTGATCACTTTTCAACAAAAATACCAAGCAGTGAATTTTCTTTCTACTTCTTATTTTATATGTGAAGTCAGATTTATAAGTAATGGATTTTAATTCACCTTGGGAGTTATGGATTCTAATCCACCTTGAGTTCATTTGCTTCTGATCAACACTGAATTTACTTCTAACGCATCTTTGTATTATTCTCGTCATCATCAGATGGTATAATAAATATTTAGATGATGCCGGAATTGTTCGTAAATTCAAGTGATAATGTAACGACCAATGAAACATGTTCAGTATCAGCTTTCAAATGAAAATTCACTTTGAGTTAGTAATTCATTCATTTCTCTTAGTCCAACTGTCAGTTAGGTTGTTTATTAACTGACTCACGGAAACATCTTTTCCTCACTGGAACTTCGAAAAATATGTCTCACTGTGCTTTAATATTGTTTATTCATATCATTTCATCATTGACATAAACCTTGCATTTTCATTGCATTAAAATATGACCCGAAATGATAATTTAAATTTCAAACTACAAATGAAGGAAAGACAAAAGACATTGAAACAAAAAACAGAGTAAGTCAGGCACTTCAAATGATTTTCTTTAAATTTCAATCTTTAAAATCAGAGTGAAGTTTTCTAATTCTTTTTAAAATTATTTTTATTCATTTAAAATTTCAATGTGCTCTATTTTCATACTCAAAATGATGATAAAGTGTATAAATTTTAATTCGGCTGAAATATTATTTCAATTCTCGGATATAAAATTCCCGTATAACGGTAGCTCATTTGTTCTCCAGCCAAATGGCACACTCTTCTTGAGCTCTTCTGCTATATGAATAAGTGTTTGATGACCGATTACTGTATTCAACAACAATTAAAATTATTGTATAAATGTAAAATTTCTTGAAAAGTCTTGAAAAGTATTTGAAACATTTTTAGTAAGTATAAAAGGCTAAAATAAAATGCATGAAAATGTAAGAATTTCAAAATGGTATTAAACAATAGGAAATTTTGATGATGTCAAATTATTTTCTTATAATATGCCTGAATGACCAATGTCCAAGAACGATGAATTTTTCGATCTTTCTTTTCTTTTACGTTTATTCTAACATCTTGCAAGTTTTCATCCGAATGATATTGACCAATTTATACAATACTTTCATAATTTTTATTTATTGAAATGCTAATTGGAACTCGCAGAGAAAACCGCCTTCTTTTCTTTTCCTCTTTCCATTTACAACACTTCAAAGGATGAACTTCAGAAGTTTAACAAATAGAGCATATGAAATCAGATGTTGAAAACTTGGATAGCAAATTTAGTTTTCAATATGGTCGGACCTAATAAAAATAAGTAAATTTGATACAGTACATATTAAAATTTTCTAAGCAAACTACCGAAGAATTAAAGTTAATTAGCGCTTTTACTGCAGCATATCAGCATTTTATCATTTTACTTTGTAGTCATCTGTAATCGTCATTATTGTGATACTTTTCAAATCAGAACAGAGAAGATAAGGAGTAATTAAATGAAGAAAACGACATGCTGTGATGTTCATTTCTAGATAATAAAATTTCGTTTCAATTCCAAACGTCACCTCCTGAAAGTTACCGATAAACTATTAATGATTACCGACAAGTTGCTGATAAGGTAAATAGTTTTTTGTTATAATTACTGATAAGCATGCAATACGACTCAAAGTTAAACAATTAATGAAAGAAATAGTGGGAAGAAATTGTCAATACATTTTTATTAATTCACTTTGCTAGCATTTCTCGCTTATTGATCCATCAATTTTGAAAATGTTCAGGACAAAGAGTAAATGGAAAAATTTTGTGAGGGCTATTCGACAAATGGTCAGCTGGTAGTTTTCTAGTATGGATCGGATCAATGGTAGCTGAATATTATAAACTCTGAGCGCCTGTCTTCCGAACAATCCCATCACAATCGCTCATATTGACACATAGGGCACATAGAACTGCTGATATTATAAACTAAGTTTTGGTTAATTTATCTTCCTTAAGTTTGTATTCACTAAACTTTAAATCGATAGGTTAAAGAAAGGCAATGAAATTTTTCATTATTGTAAATTATTAAGAAATGAAATAAATGCTATACTATTTTATCTTTGCAAAATTTTTTAGCCAATGAACAAATTGGAATATAATATGTGATATCAGGAAAGATTAACTCTTCAACTATCATAATTATAAATTAGAGATAAGATGTTATATTCGATTATTAATGAAAGTCAAGGAGAAGAACAAAAGTTCTTCAATTACGAGGATTTACCTTTCTACCTCTATTCTTCTTTCATCTAAGATTTTTGCAATCCTTTTTGTTAATATTTCATTTTGTTTGTTTCTTAACCATTCTATCGATATTAATTCCCTCTCATTAAGTTTATTAAGAGATATTTATAGCGCATTGTTAACGACAGTTTAAGGATAATATCAATTTAATTATAATTTAAAAAAAAGTAGTAAAGTGAATGGTTGAAAGAATTGTTTCAAAATAGTTGAAATTATTGATATAAAATGAATTGGAATATTGTGGGAGTCGATCTTTTTAAAAAATACTATTGAGTAAGTTATCGTCGATGAAAATTTTTAAATTTAAAAAATTTTTGTTGAATAGAACTTAGTTAATATATCTTCCAAATCTTTTCATTCTTTAATTCATTTTTCATCTTTCATATTAATTTCTAATTATTTAGAACATTTCACTCTTTCATATCTTTTTTTAAATCCCTCATTTTTATAAAGAATAGGATTATAATAATAATAAAATGAATTTGGCTCATTGTTGGTCTAATTTGAAGCTATTTCATTAATATTATCTATTTAAATCATTTGTCAACTTCCACTTCACCAAAAGAAATTCAATGGTCTAATGAAAGAGACATGGACTACTTCAAATTTTACTATTTATTGGAGAGAAAGCTGTCATTAGGGACGATAAAGTTAGTGTCATTCAATGTTTCATAGTTTCACAAGAAATTGCAGCTGTTATATGTATTAGACACTGATAAATTATACGAGCTATTAACAGAAAAGTAATTAATCATAATTAATCGAGAATAAATGTATGCATCAAAACTTGTAATAACTTTTCATTTTTTCTCAATTGGCTATTGGCTATTTGTGAATCAGCGGCTTTTCTTTGATATTAAAATGAGGTACAGTTTGAAAATTTAAGTCATAAAATCCCATATGCTGCCATTGTTGACCTTTCTTTCTATTTTTATTGGTTTTCATATTTATTCATAAATTATCTCTTAATATTTGATTGAACGTAAAATCTTTATTGCTATCGAAGGTTTAAATTTTATTTGTTCAGATTTGATCTCTCTCATATTCTCTCTCATTTCTTTCTCTTCAAAGACTTGTACTATTTTTATTTTATTTTATAGTAGCATTTTTAATAAGTTTTGCTCGAGCAAATGTACAATGATGTTGCAACATTGTTCGATATGCCTAAAAAAGATATATCGTATCTAAGCTAACCTTCGTTGAAAATGTTGAAATGACCAGTCGTCTTATATTGTCTCATATCTCTTTAAAAAACTAAAATTTTTTAAAAATTTGAAAATTTATGATTTAGATTTTATAAAAGTTAGGTTCATTGTACCTGGTGATATATTAAGTATGAAATAAAACTTAACAGAGCTATGCCTATATTAATAGCCTCTTCATATAAGATATAAACTCTCAAATTTAAGCTTTAAATTACTAAAATGTTAAATTTCAGAGTTTTGTAATAATTGCACATATCAATTCATCTATTTGCCAAGATAGGACGATGGCATAGGCCAGATTTCACATTATATTTCAAGTAATGATGAGCGAAGATATTTAGAATATGTCCAAAATTTAATATTCTTGGCTGATAATTTT